CTTGACCTTCCTGCCTGAAAGGAACATTCCTTAGCATAAAGAGACAAACCAGATGGGTCTGTGCCTTTGCAGCAATCCGCTGGGCCATCATGGCAGCGGACCAGCACAGCCTGTCCCAAATCCAAGAAGGAACCCCACCCCACCCCACCCCACCCCCTGCCCAAGACTGACTTCTGCCTTCTAACCTTGGGTTAACGGCCTCTTTTGATTTTGCACATGCGCCAAGCATCCTCCAATCAGCGCCTGTTACCACGCTGCCCCACCCATGCAACTCCACCCTCAGCGTAGCCCGTTAAATTGTTTACTGGCCTGCGTCTGTCTTGAGGGTCCTCGCAGTCTCTTCCACTACTTCTCTCTTGCTTCTCTTTTGTGCCAGAGGAAAGAACCTTACAAACTTGGGTATATTACCAGCCACTAAACTCCAAACCTTGCTTGTATTCCACTACTTGTATCATGAATGTTCTTTTTTTATTCCAGGATCCCCCAACAGGAGATAAGAGGTCTGCCTCCTAAAACCAAGCAGCAACCTTGTGGGCCTACATTTAGTTATTGTCTCTCCCTCGATGCCTACAGTCTGTGATAATTTCTTCGGCCTTTTGGTGTTTCTCATGTCCTTGTGGTGTTGAGGTATGAGGCTAACTATGCCTGAGAGTGTCCTTGAATCCCCAGGTGCTTTTTTCTTACAACTCTACTGGGCATGAGTTTGGGAGGAGCACACGAGAGAGATGAAGTGTCCTTCTTGTCATATGACACTAGTCACTGTCTGCTATCAGTGTAACTCACGACTGCTCATGCTGACCACAGTCACCTGGCCAAGTGGTTCTCGGGGGTCCCCACTGTGGCTTTTCCCTTTCCTAGACTCTGTGATCTCTTCTTCTGTACCAGTCACTTAGTGCTGTTCACCGTACCTCCCTGGGCCGGGAGTGGGACTTCTAAGCTTTACCTTCTAGACAGAGTGTCTACATATATTATCTGAAAGTTTACACACAGATTTGCCTCTTTTACTCATGTTTACTTACTGAATGATTTGTTGTTTATCATGTATATTTATTTCATACTTTAGGTTAATAACAAATTGAATGGCTTATTTTTCGATCCAATTACTCTAGCTTTGGCCATGGGACCTCATTCAGGTTGGCTGCAATTCCTGGGACATACCTACATTCTTTTTTTTTTTTTAATTCTTCCTTATGTTTTGATACTACAAAATAACCCTATGCTCATCTTTATTTTCCCTGGACTACTCTTAGACTAAATCATTTTTCCAAGGGTCCCTGTCTGTCTCCTTGAGAAGTAATATGTAGAAATCAACATCTAGTCTTGGATGTGCTCATTGTTATTGTGATACCCCAGAATGTAGACCCTCTTGGTTGTCAGAGCTAGAAAACTGTGTGTATCTCTATACATGTCTATCTATATTTACATCTATATCTATCTATCTATGTCTATATATTTATGTTCCATAATGTATTCCATATGTATATATTCCATAATTATTCCTGTATCCATCTATCATACACTTTGTCATAGTTTCTGAGACTTGGGCAAAATGTTCTGGGATAGTGTGATCTCAAATCGTCCTTGTTGGTTCTAACAAGGACTAACTGGGGTGATGAGCTAGAAAGAGCCAGAATCCGTGGGCACTGGTAGGCACTGGCTCCAAGAGAGGAGCTCTGATGTCCCCACTCTACAGAGCACCTCTGTTTGCTTTCCTCAAGCCAAGAGTTCTTTTATTCTCACTGACATAGGTGAGAAATGTGATTCTCTCCGGGTCATGGAGGCTGTGTCTCAAGTTTGGTGTTTCTGAAGCAGGTAGAAAATGTCAAATGAAAACTAAAATTTTAAACTAACAGTGGCATTTTTGCTTTAATTTGGATTTGAATTCATCCTTTTAGATAGTAGGTAAATAATCATTTAAAGCTATTAAATTAGAAACAAGAGAAAAACTGATGTCCTGATGTAAAACAAGCTGAGTTACTGTCAAGAACTTAGATCCAGGCTGGCCTGATAGCTCAGCAGACTAAAGCATCTGCTTAGGCAGAACACAGCAGCTGGGATTCAATCCCTGGTGTGCTGTGCTGGCCCCACCCCTGGGGTACACTGAGATGGCAATTGAGACTGGGTGTGGTGGCACGTGCCTGTAATCCCAGCACTTGGGAGGCTGAAAAACAGGAGAATCACTATGAGTCTGATCTACACAGTGAGACCCTGTAGACCCTGTAGGCCCTGTAGACCCTGTAGGCCTTTGATGAGAGCAGTATCGTCACCATCCAGCGCCCCCTATCCATGATGAAAGCTCATATTATTTTCATTTCTCTCTTTTTTTAATCTTGGGGAAAAGAAACAGTGGTATATAAAGACGCAGTTAGCTGTGTCATCTATTATAGAATTCTAAAGTTGACCTAATAGAAAATTATCATTTAATATTGGGTTTAAAAATGTAATCAATTCAAAAAACCAATAAAAGCATTCTATCCTGATTAGCACGCTTGAGTTAGTGTCATGTCAGTATCATTATAAGGTGTCAAAAAACATGAGGTTTTTAAATTATATATCCTGAATGTTTATTATATCTTTCATAGTCATTTTTATGATTCAGTAGTTCAAATTCAGTGGCAAGACGCTGAGATTCAGTAAATGCTCAGTTATCTGTACTCTCCAAGTGGAACTAGTGCTCAGATATTCCGTTCTAAAAACTTTATCTTGTGAGTGTTTTTTAATTTACTTTCACATGAGTGTGTCTTTTCATCGTTTCTCCCATTAACAGAAGGTTCGTTTTGCAATCACTTGGTCATCGCAGGCAGACAGGAAGAGTACAGTACTGGGTTGGGTAGCAGGCTGAGGTGAGATATCGGCCGTGGTTACCTTGAAATATTGGTGGCTCTTGTACAGCTAGCAAATGTGAAATTGGCAAGCCACACCAACAATTTACTGGCTTCCTCATTTTCGCCACCATGTTTGGTTCTGGCTTTGTACCTGTAGTGCCTTGCATGACATCACTCATCATCTGCTCCCGGCTGCCTTCTGCTGATGGGTTTGGGAAAGAGATCTGAGAGTGATTCAGACACCGGACACCGAATCATTCTCAGAACCAAGCTTCAAGCATGTGGCCAAGGTACAGGCACATTTCAGTGTGTGAGTCACAACACAGTCCTGTCAGAGCTTTGGAATGAATACTGTCCTGTCCTGCCTGGTCTTGTACCATTGAATTACATAAAAATATTCAGAATGTCACCTGACATACATTATAAATAGAACATAAATATGTTTACTTTTTTTTTTTTTTTTTTAGTTTAGATAGTCTTACTACTGATTCTCTTCATTCATTGAAAAGAAAGACTTGGGGCTGGGGAGATAGCTCGGTGGAGTAAGTGCTTCCCTGGCAAGCGCAGGGCCCGAGTTCAATCCCCGATTCCACCAAAAGGAAAAAAAGAAAAAGAAAAGAAAAAGGCTTGTGCTAATATTGTTTGGACAATTAAATGCCAGTATCTTGTACTCTGAGTAACTAATTTAAAGTTAATAACATGCTTTACTTTTTATGCCACAGTGCCTGGACAGAAGCAGGAATTGCTGCTCTGTGTACAGTACTGTGACTCTAACAGGTATTTAGAGTTGCTATATTAGGAATGGTGAGTAGGCTGGCTGTACTTACTCAAGTGAGGTGGCCCTTTGTCATCTGCTCACTGAACCATCGGGGGCCATTTTGGGCAAATTTTCATATTAGTCCAGTCAGGAGAATACAGTTTCTTCACCTGCACTGGTTGGACTTGCCTGTTCTGAAATTCAGTTTGGTTCAAATCATAGGCACAAAACAGGCATTGTGTCGAGAGCAAAGTCCGACAAATGATGACTCTATAGTCCATGCCTATTGGAGCTGTTAACTTAGTCGTAGAGTCAGACATGTAGCCAATTAGCCATAGTCTAATGTTTAAAAAAGTAATTGATTTCTCATTGGTATATATTTGTGACATAGCAATCATATGTTTTGGGGAGTTTGTATCTATAGATATTGCATCTTGATCATTTTTACTACCCTCTCACCATGGTCCCTTTATTTGGATCTCCTACCTATCTCCCTGTTTCCTACTAACTCTCCTTTAATTCACTGTTTAAATTATAATTTTGGCCTCTCATGTAAGTGAAGACCATGCTACATTTCTTTAACCATCTGTATCTTACTTCATTTAACATTATGGTGACAAGATCCATCATCCTAATCATTGACTGAAATTGATCTTTTATGGCCGAGTAGTACTCTACCATGTATATATACAACATTTTCTTTATTCGCTCATCTTTTAATGGATGTATAGGTAGGTCACATCCATAACTTATCTAATGTGAATTGTGCTTCTACAGATATGGTTATGCATATATCATGGTAATATGATTACTTTAACTCTTTCTGGAAGGTAACCAGGAGAGGTATACCTGGGTCAAATGGAATTTCTACTTTTAGCTCTTTTTTTTTTTCTTTTCGGAACCAGGAATTAAACTCAGGTCCTTGCGCTTGCAAGGGAAGTGTTTATTCTACTGAGCCAACTCCCTAGCCCTACTTTTAGCTCTTTTGAAGAATCTCCATATTGATTTCTTTTTCTTTTTTCTTTTCTTTTCTTTCTTTTTTTTTGCAGAACTGGGGATTAAACTCAAGCCCTCACACTTGCCAGGGAAGCGCTTATTCCACTGAGCCATCTCCCCAGCCCCTCCATATTGATTTCCATAGTGATTGTACTAGCTTACATTTCCAGTAACTATGTACAAGGGTTCCTCTTCCCCAACAGAGCCAGCATTTGTGTTTTTGAGTTTCTTCATGATAGCCATTCTTCCTGGAGGTTCTGTGCCAATACTATGGTGTTTTAGGCACTGTAGTTTTGTAGTATAATTTGAAATCTAGGATTATGATGCCTTCTACTTTGGTCTTGTTGCTCAGGATTGCTTTGCTTATTCTTGGTCTCTTCTGGTTCTATACACATTTTAGAATTATCTTTTCATTTATTTTTCAGGAGAAAGTGTGAACGCAGTCTCCCACTACCACAAATTATGCAGTTGGGTTTCCCACATTTGAGGGAATCATAGAGGTCAGCCTGTCTACAGTGCACTGGATAAGCCTCGCCCAGAGGAAGTCACCTTCATGATCGTGCTGTTTCCCCTGCCAGGTAAGTACTTTTCTTCCACTTTTATGTAGAATATCACTGGTGTATTGATTGGAACTGCATTAGAGGTAGATAATCATTTTTGGTAATACGGCCATTTGACAGTGTGATTCTGCCTACCCGGAAACTGGATGTCTCTCCATTTTCTATGGTCCTCCTCAATCTCTTTTTTCAGATTATTACAGTTTTTGTTATAAGGCTCTTTCACTTCCTTAGTTAGGTTAATTTCTAGATGTTTAAGTGATTGAAGCGACCATAATTGAGATTGTTTTCCTGGTTTATTTCTTGGTGGGTTCGTTATTGGTATAAAGGAATGCTACTGAGTTTTGTATGTTGATTTTGCATTCTGCCACTTTACTCAATTTGTTTGTTAGCATTAAGAGTCTTCTGATGGAGTTTTGGTCTTTTGTGTAAAAAATTATGTCACTTACAAACAAGAATAGCTTGATGTTTTCTCTTCCTATTTATATCCCTTTTATAGTTTGCTCTTGAGTGATTGATCTGGCTAAAGTTTGGTTGCCTAAATCTGAGGAGACATGACAGGAATGTGGGCTCAGCCTTATCCAACTCACAAAAGGACCAAAGGTATATATATGTGAATTTTTATCTATTCACTTATTCTTGTGGTGTACACACCTCTGAGAAGTGTTTGGGTTAAATGACCTTCAGGAAAAAATAAGTGCGGGTGAAAGGAACTAATAACAAACAGATAAGTAAAAAATAACTATAAGTGATATTTCATTCATTAGAATATTGATTTCATAATTAGAAATCTAATATAAGTTGATTTAAGAAAAAGAAGAAGTTTAAGGGTTTAAGAAGACAGAATACCTAAGATGTCCCCAGCCTTAGGGACACCTGGAACCATGATGAGATGCATCAGTCTCCTGTGGATCCACTTCTCCACATGCTTGGGCATCAACCCATTTCTTTTCCCTTCGCTTCTGCTTGCCCTTCTGGGCAGAAAACTTGAAGTGCTCATGTCTTCATTCTCACATCGTTTGCCTTCTGAGAAAAGACTTCTTTCGTTACCAGTGTAAGAAGTCTGGAGGAAGAGCTTTGTGTATTGTGCTGCTGACTTGTGGTCTGACTTCTGTGGATAGAGGTGAGCCAGTTGCCCACAGAGTGTAGCTCCCAGGAAAGGCATAAAGGGGCTCCACATGTGGTACCTTGGGGGGCCCCTCCAGGGATGTCAGAGCAAGAGGGAAGAAAGGAAGAAGCTCATCCACAATGAAAACAAAGATCTGGAAGACTGTGTGAGAAGTAGGGGGTTCTCAGACAACTTGAAAAGCCAAACTGAAAAAGGGGAATTAGAAAGACTCTTTGGAAAGCACTGTGAGGTCAAAGCAAGGTGTTAAGTAACTTTCCTTGTGAATAAATGCAACGTGACATGGGCATAGCAGACTACAATGGTGATATCTCTTAAGCAAGGGACCTGTCATTTGCCATTATTTCCTGTGGACAGTAAAAGTCAGTAAGACATTGGGATTTATGGACCAGTTGAGCTGGACACTCCATCCTGGTTTGCCTGGAATTGTGGAGCAAGCAGTCCATGTCTCCATAAGCTAAAGGCACAGACACTGGGTGTACAGGAGGCAATCAGGGCCACCGCAGGGTGGGTGGGTGTGACTAGAGAGGCCTCACTGCTCTCTGAAATTCCCAGCCACTTCATACTGTCACCTCAGGTCCAGCACTTTATCTCTGTGTCCCAATCCCTTACGCAGTAAAGTAAAAATATCAGACAGAAGGGTTTTCTTCATCCCTTTAGCTATCTTCTCTTTGATTTGAAGGTTTTTCTAATAAGCGCCTGCATATCACATTTAACCACAAAATGAACTTTGGCTATTTTCACTTAATTCTTAGAAACAATTTACATGAGATTCCAGAAAGAAGACACGGCAAACTCAATGATAGTAACTTCCAGAGTGGTGGTAGGATGTAGGTCTGAGGGTGGTTGTCTCAGCTGCTCATCAGTGTCTCTTGGGAGCTTATTAAAACTGCAAATTCTCAGCACCCTCATCTCAGACCTATTGAGTCAGAACTTCTGCAAAGAGGATAACCTAGGACTTAAGGGTTTCAGAAGCCCTCTAGGTGATTCTAGTTCAAATTAAAAATTGAGAAATATCCTGTGTGAGAAATCAAGTGGGCAGGCCAGTACTCAAGCTTAACAGCCATGCTTATTATACTCATATCTAAAAGGACACTGGGAGAGGAGATTAGAAGAACCTGGAAGGACAGAGGCGCTGACCTAACTATGACAGACACCAGCCTGGGGACCATGAGAATACACTTTTCCTTTGATCATCCTGCAGGAACTCCCTGTTGGTCAACCAAAGCTAGCAGACAACACCCCTGTTTCCTCAAGTCTTTGGAGGTGCAGATTCCAGAGAGGTGGGTGAAGATGGGCAGAGATGTCCAGGACGAGCAAATGGAAGACACACAGCCAGTGTACCAGCCTTACAGCACAATTGTGATCCCTGTCATAGCTCTTTCTGTCTGATTGCTTACACAAAGTACCAGAAACCCAAAGTTAAAAAGGAGATGGCTTAATGCACAATTTTTAAAGGATTCATTCCATCAACAGCCCACTCCATAGCAGGGTGGTGTGGCAAGGAGCCTCAATTCATGGCAGTGGAAGACAGAAAAAGCTGACTTTACGCTCCACTGATGGATGGTTCTTCCAACCAAGCTCTTAGACCTTGAAAATCAAACCAGCTTTGAATATTTTTGACATTTTTTTTCTAGATAATGATAATATTTCCTTTTGCTTTGAGACTGGGTCTTGCTGAAATGCCCAGGCTGATATAGAATTTGCAATGCTCCTGCCTCAGGATCTAAGAGTACAGATGCCTACCAGCATGCCTGGCTTCAGCTAATTTTTGATGAGCATTTTTCATTGAGAAAGACATGATTGTTCACAAGAAAACTATATCTTCAATGAAGGAACATAGAAAAAAATGTGATCTGGGAATTTTGACTTTGTGGTGGTTAGGAGCCATAGTCATTTGACATTTTGTCTCCCAAAAAGAGCTATTAATAATAAAAAAAAACAAAAGGAGAAAATTATATTTCAGGTTTTAGCATTTCTTAGTCTCTTTAATTGTGATGCTAGCAAATGTTCCCTTATAGTAAGATTATTTTATTGGTTGATTTTTCACAGTTGTTCACAGGGTATTTGTTCAAGTTTTATTCTCTTCTTAAGGAAATATATAGGTTTAAAATTATTTAGCACAGTCAACATGGTAGAAGGTAAATGTATAATCAATATTCCAAATTTGCATTCCAGCACATATCACTGTGTTCCTCAGAAGCTGAGGCCCGCATCCTAGAACAATTCTATTTTACTTACCCAGTATTACATCTTCCTTGTAACTTTGGAAATTCGTATTTTATTTCATCAATACATAGAAGACAAAATAATCTGTATGCTCATTATATTAGTATCCATATTTTTGTAGTCCTTATATATTTCATACTAAAAAAGAGTTCTTAAGACTCGCTAAATATTCTTTACAAATATATAATGAAATATCCTTTATATTCAGGCTGTATTTCTGAGATGATATCTGAATTGTTTGAGTACTTATGCAGCTATATTAAAGTGACTTTAAAGACCTTTTAATTGTTAATTTCTTTTTTATTTACTTAAAATATGTACTTGCCAGAAAAGATAACCCATAACGCTATTTTTGCTCTATACAGCTTGCTGTTACAACAGATTTAATTTATTCTATCTGAAGTATTTTGCATACCTGTAACTAATTTTTTTTCACTGTAAAACAGTCCCTTATTTATATCCCCCTTTTATGTTTTGTTTTGTCACAGATGGCTGTTACATTGCTGTCAGAGAAGCTGTATTTGGAGAAGTCTTTACAGGATCTTTTCATACGTGATGCCAGTCCAAATATTGCAGGTATTTGAATTCAGCAAAATAACCCAATATAGTCCAGCAGTCCATAATAGTAATGAGTTACCAACACAACTGACAATTGTCCGAAGTTGTTGACTTGAGCCTTTTACGGCTCAGCATATTAATATGGCTTTACTTTTTATACCTTGTGGTTATACTTTTCTGCTGGATGGTTAAGACCAAGTTAAAACAAGACCTATATAACTAAAAATGTAACTTTTTCTATCTGATAAAGTAAGTCAAATCCCCCCAGGATTTACCTGGGAACCATGTACAGCACCTTGTGGCTCTTTTGTCAGTGTCAGCCATCTGGATGAGTTACGGCCATTGCTTCCAATTTGGTCTCTGTGAAAGCCTGAGAGAATTTTTTCTCTCTAGTTGACTGTTTTAGGTACATTATACATTGTCAGTCACTTTCCTCTGTGGCCCCGTAATCTCCTTGATCAGAAAATTTGGGACACCACTTAGTTACAGGATGTCACAGCCTGTAACCAATTTTAAACTAAAGAATATCTCACTGCTATCTATCTTACTTGTAAAAATGAAAATACCTAACTCTTATTTAATATCCACCAAGTCCCAAAGGCTTACAGAGATATCTCCAGAATTTACAACAATAGTGCAGGTGGATTTTACTATCCATATCTTATGGATGCAGGTGTTGAATTCTTAAAGCCCAAGAAAGGATTAAAATCAGGTGTATAAAAGTACTGCATTCTTTGTAGGCCCTGAGCCCAGGTGTGGTGGCACACACCTGTAATACCAGGGCTGGGGAGGCTGAGACAGGAGGATCACTGAGTCAGAGCTGTGTAATGAGAGCCTGTACCAGATAGATAGATAGATAGATAGATAGATAGATAGATAGATAGATGGTAGACAGATGATAGGTCGATAGACAGATAGATGAAAGAAAGTAAATAGATGAATCCCTGCCTGGACATAGGTTCAGGTATCTGGCCAAGGTTTCCATGGGAAAGAGCCCTATCTAACAGCTCTTCTGACAGAGCCCGTCAGAAACACTGGCTTTCAAACTATGGAGAACAAAGAAGGTCTTCTGAAGAGGAGTGATGACAGCAGAGTTTGAGGAAGGCAAGATGGGCA